ATCTAAAAGTGCGTGAAGGTCGAATTTGAAATCTTTTGATTAGACGCGACCAAGGAACATCTCTGTGAAGTTTCAGCCTCTTAGCTTGCACCGTTCCCGAAAACGCCTTCCCGCTAAAAAAATTTTCACATGCCCATACGTGATAACCACGCTGAAGTGAGCGACCATTTTGAGGACAGGAGCCCGCACGTATGTGTAGATTAAATTACCAAAGTTTTAGCCTTGTAGCTTCTGTAGATCTCGAAATGAAAACTCGTTACAGACGCACACACAGACATACACACATATACACGCACAAGACACAGACACAGAAACAACCCCTTGACAATATGCGTTTTTGCACTGCATAGATGCAAAAAACGCATAAAAAAGACTTGTTATAGTAAGCAAAAATTAGTTGAGATACACTTCGCTGGACTAGAAAGCTTATAAAGCACGACACAATTAGCTGGAAAATTATAAAAGAAAGCACTAAAAACACTGGTAAAGCATACTTGTCATATTTGATATGGTTCCAGCTGGCAGCCCAAGCTCAATTTCCTTCTGCCGCTCACTGATTCTAGTAACCAGTTTCATTGCCCATGTAAGTTTGAGTTTTATGTGGCCACCATGCTCCTCTAGAAGACCTGGAGCCTTTTCGAGAATATAATCACGTGCGATTGCTAATGCCTGCGAAGCCGTTAAATGTCCCCGAGGATCCGATTGTTTTACCTGAAAGTTTTTATCACATTTACAAAGAATGAAACGTAGACGCCTTTTAGAGCGGCATCAAATAACTGCACAAGCAAATTTGGTGCCCCTGAAAACTCATACACGATTAAAATTTTGCACACTCTCTTCATACGGTTGACATATGCCAATGAAGCAACTAACGAAGGGTAGCTAGCAGGTAAGCTATACGGCAACAAAAGTGTCAGGACAATGCTATATATTAAGTAATTTCCTTAGTAACCCAGGCTGGAATGCACCAGATGGGCCGGTGCGAATATGCGTTTTTGCACTTTTCGTGCTGTAGCAAGATCGCAAGGAATCACAGTAGCCAACCCTGTGACATACTGGCTCCCGAAGTTCGGGAAGTTAATTGTGCTAGCTGTGGTATGTCAGTTGTAGGTGTCGACTTCAGTGACCCGACAAATGGGAAAGTTGCTGGTCCGCAAAGAAAGTTTGTGCCGCAGCAAGATCGCAAGGAATCAAAGTAGCTAACCCTGTGAAATACCGGCCCTCGAAGTCCGGGAAGTTAATTGTGCAGCTATTGGTATGTCAGTTGTAGATGTCGACTTCAGTGACCCGACAAATGGAAAGTTGCTGGTCCGCAAAAAAGGCCGCACTAGAAGAGTTAAATTTAAAATCTTTTAGCCGCACACGAGTAGGAAACATCCCCACAAAATTAAAGCCTCCCTTTTAAAATCAGCTTTTCTCGTTCCCGAGTTAGCAGTTTTCCCATCAAAATTCTCATGTGTCCGTACTTGAGTACGGACGGTTTTAAGGAGATGAATTTGAAATCTTTTGGTCATGCATAAGTAGGGAACATTACCCTAAACTTTT